AGAATAGGGTTGTGGGGCCCCTTATACTAGAATTATAAAAAGGAACCCCCCAAAATAGTATACGTCATTAATTTCGGCCGCTAGATTCCTTTAACCCGCTGGATATTAGAATGGTATAAAAACCCCACGCGCCACTCTTGACCCGAGAACCCTGGATCCTAAAGCGCCTTTAACCTTTCGAAAGGGTTTAGGGTTTACTGTTTAGGATTTAGGGTTTAGGGCTTAGGGTTTAGAGTTTAGGGTTCCGGGTGCACCGCCAACCAATGCCCAAAGCCCAGACAGCTTGCCGCCTGGTGGAATCACAAGAATAAACGTAGTTATATAGTAATAAAGGGAAAATGTATGTGTGTGGGGGTGTATGTGTGTGTATATATATATATATATGTATGAAAGGAGTAACGACAGAAATAACTACAAAAACTCAGAAAAAGATAAGAACATAAACTATACAAGGACCGTAACAATGATAGCAACAATCGGAGAAACAGTGGGCCCGAAGGCCTACAGCCCCAATGCAGAAGCCAGAAAGTTGGACCGTCTTTGTCCTCAAAAAGTTAATCAGCACTCCTTTTCAACATAGTTCCCCAGAGACTCCAATACCCCTAAGTAAGGAATATACCTTAAATCTTATTAGGGATCCTACTATAATTCAAGGTATATTCCTTAATTGAGGGGTATTGGAGTCTCTGGGCAAACAGGAACAACCCTAAACCCTAAACCCTAAACCCTAAACCCACCGATACCTCCTCAATGACCAGGCAAAGCAGCGTCCGACGCTCCCCGGCATCCTCGCTCGGAAAGGGCTTTTCGGTCTTCAAGGTCTTCAAAGGGTACTGTAGGTACTGGGTTTAGGGTTTAAGGTTTAGGGTTTCGGGTTTAGGGTTTAGGGTTTAGGGTTTAGGTACGTCAAGGGTACTGTAGGTACTGTAATGATTTCAGGCTGAAGGTTTAGGGTTGAAGGCACAGGCTGTAGCCTTTTTCAGATCCAGGCTGGCTTTCAGCTGTAGGGTTTGGGTGTTTGGAGTACCTGGGCGGTGGAATTAGTATCCAAACGCAACAGCTCCGAATAGCTCAGGGTTGAGGAGATGAGGTGAAGGCCGTGTAAGCAGAAGATCCAACAGATCTCGACCCTAAACCCTAAACCCTAAACCCTAAACCCCTAAACCCTAAACCCCTAAACCCTAAACCCCTAAACCCTAAACCCTAAACCTCCAAACCCTAAACCCTAAACCCAAAGCCCAGCTCCAATACGAGCACAGCACCCCAGAGCCTCGAAGGACAGTGCATTGGGATCTATGCCACACCTCGGCACCCGAGAGTTGTAGTAGGTTTAGGGTTTAGGGTTTAGGGTTTGGGGTTTAGGATTTAGGGTTTAGGGTGCATCACAATGTAAAGCTAAATGTACTACAGCTCTACAAGCGTCGCGAAGGAAACATACTACAACGACGGTCTACGAGCTGTAGCGGCGGGGGATAAAGAGTTGGGCCCCAGCTACGCAGCTCCAGGCATTTCACTTCTGAGGTGCTTTCCTGGGTGATTGTCACCGCCGCCGCTACCACAATCACAGGTGATTGGACTGGTGGCGGTCGGTGGTCAAAAGTAGCAGCAGCAGCAACAGAAGCAGCTGCGGCAGGAGGAGGAGGAGGAGTAGTAGTAGTAGTAGCAGCAGTGGCAGCAGTAGCAGGCAATAAGCATGCGAATTGCAACAACAACAACAACAACAACAACAACCACAACCACAACCACAACCACAACAGTGAT